AAGAGATAAGAAAATGATCTAAGGCCGCATGAGGGAGGTCTGGATAGGAGGCCCAAGTAGAATCAGCAAATCTAGAGAGATGTCAAGCTAAACAACAGATCTGATGACGCCACATTAAACTCGGCAAATCTATGGAGGAGTAAAATATAAACAAGGCAGAAGTTGCGATAGGGCAGGAGTGAGATAAGAGGTTAGGGAGTAGATAGAAGGGCCAGGACAGAAAGGTCTCAACGACATAACCGTTGAGACGAAGGTTGGTTGGGGGATTGACCTCAATTGCCTCTGACAAGTGTCTTGGTGATGAGAATAAACTCATTGAGGATGCCGGCGAAGCATCTGGGAATGTACCAAGTCTACGTTCCGATACTGGAAATTATGCTAACTTATACACTAAACGACTTGGGGCAAGTTGCGAAAACGAAATCAGCTCACTTAGTACCTAGTATTTTTTATTAGGATGGGCAACCACAAGATAAGATGCTTAAATTATATATTGTAAAACGAAATGCTTCTACTTGTAGTGGTATTTACAATTTGTTTTCAGAAGTGAGGTGGACGCGAAAGTCACGTTCTTTCTGACGGTATGATTTTGTCATGGTCCGGAAGATTTAGTGACACTCCAAGTCCTTTTCCGTGCCAAAATGTACCATTTGATAGCTGGCGAACTGCCGGAAGTTAAACACTATAGTACTTACAAATTAATATATCGGTGCTACTTGGGCCGCATCATTCAAGAGGACGAGGTGTACGAGTATGTCATTTTCATCGCATAGGATTGCTTAATGTCAGCGACCCATAAATATTCCATTTTAGAGATTGGAATAAGGGCAATTCATGTGATCCCTTAAATGCTTTACCAGTTTCCTTATTATTTGTGTTAACGCCTTAGTCAAAACATAGTGACCTTACGTTATGGGGTGTTTGTGACTTCATACTCGTGTTTTTAGATCAAAAAATGAACCATAATGAATGTGATCTTCAAATGTTATTTCGGAGGTCTATCCTCATCGAGGATGAAGTGATGGTCGTTCAAATCCCGTCATTATTCTTAATGGGATTCTAATTACACTCTTACATAAAGGTTC